ATAGATTATATTGAGAGTAAATATGGTACTAAAAAATTTCACTTGGTTTTTGAGTAAATTTTAGAGTGTTAATGTAGTTTATATGTTATAATAGGTCACTTATTTTTACTTATAATTATTAATATGATGTTATAATTATTGTGTTTAATATATTTGTTTAAAAGAGAGTTAAAGGATGTTACAGATTTGTTAATCTAATAGTTGATTAATGTCAGATAGAGTATGGTTATTGTATTGTTAACCCTGTGATTGGCTCTGGGAAGTGGGGGGGGGAGGGAGGGGGGAGGGGAAGGGTGGATTCTGGGGAGGGGGGGAATTATATTGTAAAACTTTTATAAAATTTTCAATTAAAAAAAAAAGATACAGTGTCACTGAAAAAAGTGACCTATGACTGTTTTTCACGCTTACAACTGTTGCAGTATCCCCATGGTCACGGGATCAAAATTCAGACTCCTGGCCACTGATTCGTATTTAGCACAGTTGCAGTGTCCAGGGGCCATGCGATCACCTTTTGCGACCTTTTGATAAGCAAAGTCAATGGGAAAGCCAAATACACTTAACTGTATTTGCTTAACATCTGCACTGATTCACTGAACAGTGGCAAGAAGGTCCTAAAATCGGGCAAAAAACTCACTTAACAACGCTCCTGCTTAGAAGTGGAAATGTTGGGCTCAATTGTGGTTGTAAGTCAAGACTACTTCATTAGAAGTTGCTTTGATCCCATCTTTTAACTATATCTGCTCACTTCCCCTTCTTCAACCTGGCTATCAGACCTGGCCAAAGTCTTCTGTCAGCATCTGTCCCCTGACACAAGCGCTATACTTTGCTTAAAGTTAGCAAAGCAGATTTCATTGGTGACATAATATTTAACCAGGTTCCAATGTTTTACTATTTTGGAATAGAGAAAAAAGTAAGTGCCAGAGCAAGCAACTGAGGAAAAGTTGAAGTCTCCAAATATTTGTATGTATCTTGTGCTTCCTAACTTCAGAATGAAGGAATTGTTATCAGATTCTCAACGTTGGCAACTATTGTAAGGAGATGACATTTTGTTTCTAAACTGACTGGGAAGAAATGTATTTAATTACTTCAGTTCACTGACTGCCACAAAGCTGGTTTGTTTGATCTTATCGGCTTGATGGTCTCTTGCAGGCCAACAACCAATAATTAGGTACATCAAAGTCCTCACAGGCAACTTGTTATTTAAGAGACAGATTTCTCTGAAATGTAAAGTCTCCTTTGTTTAGCCTTGTCATCTGAAGAACTGCTATCTATTCTAGTAACAGAGAAAAGAGGGGAGGTCTGCAAGAGGATCAGGTTGCTGATGATATACCAAAATAAACTCTGACATTTAAAATAGCATGTCAAGTAAGAACTGTATGATTTTTTGTCATGGATGCAATAAGAGAAATGTATTTAAATTAAGAGTATGCTACCTGTAAAAAAAAAGTAAAGATGCCCTTAAGGTGACCTTGCTTTTTTTGTTGGCTTCGTAGATAACAACTGAGCAGTTTTCCCAGATGTATAGAAGTGATTTCTCCCATTGTCTTCTGGGGTTTTTTAAACTTCCCAGTCTAGCCTACAGCCCTAATATTCCTTAGCAGGCAGAATTCTCAAGCCCATCTATGCTTACTTTCTGAGTCTTATGTGGAAGATAGTCTTGAAGATACCTGAAGACATTTAATTATTAGATCTAAAGGTCCAACTTTATCTAACAATTCCATGATTGTTGTCACTAAATGATGCTTTTTCTCTTTGCATTTAGTAGTCTACCCCACAAAAATTAAGGAGAAAGGTTGCTTATCTTAATTCCTTGAAGGTTTGTTTTATGGAGGGGGGAAAAATGTACTCCCTAAGCTGGTTTTGTTCTGTAGAGAAAATATCCTCCAGGTAAGTTTTCTAAGAAAGATATAAAATGCATAAAGCAGAGAAAGTCCTAATCTTGGTATTGAAACCAGAAAGCCTTTAGTATTTTATTATCAAGGTAACTTATATTGTTATTTTTTCTTACTCAACGCATTCTCCACATTTAATGCTAATGTACACCCCCCCCAAAAAAAATCCATGGAGTCAATTCAGTATTCTCAAGCACTCATTTTATATACGCTTTGTGGAAAAGCCAGGTTCAAATTAAATGAATAATATTTATTACTGCAGGCGTATGTATACCTAAAAGTCCGAAGATCTGAGTTTTATTTTTTTCCTCAGCAGCACAGAATTTCATAATGTTTACAGTACATGTGCTGTGCATGTATCAAAAGACAGTGGCTCAATGTTAGTGCATTGCCGCAATGTATTAAGTGTTGCGATTGAGATACTCAGTAAATACAAAATGCAAGTGTTAGTGTTACCAGACTGTCCCTTTACAAACAACTGCTCACTTTTCTCTCATTAGACATCTGAAGTCTGCCTCACCTAAAGCCCCCAGTTCAAAAGATACCAAGTCATCACTGATGCTTGTCCAACCACTCTTTAAAGCCCCAGGGAAGTAACTGACCCATTGTTTCAACTAGCAATCATCCTGCCTTAAGCCAAAAGGTTCATGTTTGTGCTATTCTTTTGCCAAATACATAACATCACTCCACAAATTCAAGCACAGCCAAATGTAAATATTTATCTGAAAGACTTGAGGACTTGTGATGAGTCCTTCATCACATTTTGTACCTCTTCAACTGAAGTATGAAATGACACTGTTCCAAACTGTTATGAGAGGATATACTCAGGGTCATTCTGGAATTAAGATTTAGTTCACAGTTTCTTGAGCCCTCCTACTCAAATGACACAGGCATCATATTTTTAAAATCTAAACCATGCTCCTAGAGAAGATATATTTGTAGTGAGATCATCTTAACTCTTCACTTCTCCTTGTGTGTTCTCCTTTACTCCCACCTGCACGTTGGAGATTTAAATTGCTTTTTATATATGGTCTCAAAACCTGGAACAACCTTTTCCAAAGAAACACGTATGGCAGGAGAGAAAAAACCCCCACTGCAACCTAAATTTGATTAAAGTAGTGCATAATGCCTGAAAAATGATAAGCATGGTTCAACATTCATTTTAAAATTAATTATTCAACTGTAACTATTGTTTTTATGATGAAGGCAGTTTGCTCTAAAATAATAAATAAAGATATTGGCACTAATACAATCCTCTGCAGTACTGCATGCTGACTGGGGAGTTGAAGTCAACACATCTTAAAATTTGGGAAACACCGAACTAAAGTAATTTGCCCCAGTCTGAACATTTTCCACATTAGTGGACTTCAATTCCCAGAATTCTCCAGCCAGAATGAGTCATTAATGGGAATTCTGGGAGCTGAAATCTAAAAATCTAAAAGAGAGGGTAGTCTATACTTTGCAGATTACCTGAACAGCAGTAACTAGTAACAGAACTAGTAGTTGTAGTTTACTTTAGGAAAGAGAGTCTGGTCAAAAACTACTTGTTATGCATTCTGCAATAAGATAAAGGCTCTGAGGATAATAGATCATAGAAAAACTGTCTATCTCACATATTTTTGTTTTAAAAAGTGAAGCTTACCTCCAGGTATTGGTAAGCCATATGAAAAGTCTGATTGGCCATACTGAAGACATTCCTCCAATCAAAGTTCCTCATATCATCCTTTCTTTTCTCTGGGGGTCCATTATACAGAAAGTTGATAGCATCTTCCACAGTTAGACCTTCACCACCAAATTGTTCATTTAAGAAACTTTTCACAGTAGGATTTTGCAAAGTGTCCTATAGGTAAAAAAATATATATATCATCTTTAATTTCACAATCCAGCTGTGAAAACACACCAATTACTCTTAAGTGGGGAAATGAATAGCACCTGCCAAATATAGTTTTCCAGATTTTACTTATTATGTAAACATGAATTCAGGAGAAAATGGCATTTCCAGGGAAATCTTTGACCCTTTACCCACCTGCTGGTTGCTCAGTTTAAATGCTGTGCCCCAGAGCCAGTTCTCCTCCCAGTTAAGACTTCTAGTTTCAGAACAATTAAACACAGGGTAGCACATTTATTGCTAAAGGAAGCAGTAAAGATTTCCCTGCTGGCTACTGCTTAGGCCCACCCTTCATGGATTAAGATGAATGGCAACAGTAAAGTGGCATTAATAGAATTTTGTTTCGGTCTTGGAGCTGGAATTGCAACAGTTCTAAATTACCAAGTATGGGCAATAAAAATCAATCATTAAGAACAGAAGCTCTTTTAGAAAAAAAAAAGTACATGTTTTTGTTTTTTTTAAAGCCCAGCATTTTAGAATTTAATTTATACCTCTCTGGGAACCTTTCTCACTATGTGGGTTAAAAATCTTGTCCTTAGCCCCTTTTGCTGGCTGAGATAGGAGTGAAAATCCAAAACTGGACCGCCTCAGTTTTGGAAAATTATTCTAAAAATTTGGTAGGTACTATACATCCTGAGGGGTGCCTAGACTAAAAAAGAAGAGTGCATTTGCATCTCATTTATATCCACACAGAGAGACCTTCACTTGGTACTTGTCATATATATATATATATATATATTTGTTATTTTTTGTTTTGTTTTTTTAGTGAAGATGTTCAATGCATGCAGTTTGGACTTTCTTGGTTCCTGGACATCAAATGATTTTCAAACTTAGGGGAAAAAAATAAAATAGGGTTGCCCATTTACCAACTGATAAACAAGTTACTGCAAAAACAAAACAAAACAAAAAACAACAACAAAGCAGTCCAGTAATTTCTACTAGATAATGCAGCAATTTATTCTTCTCAATCAGTTTTAAGATGCTTGGATTTCAACTCCCATTCCATGGCTGGCTGAGGAATTGTGGGAGTTGAAGTTCATGAATCTTAAAGTTATCAAGGTTCAGAAATACTGCTCTAGAGCAGAAGTCCCCAACCTTTTGGGCACCAGGGACCGGTTCCATAGTGTTAGATCGCGCAGGCAGTAAGACACGAGTCGAGTGACAGTCAGCTCTTGGTTTATTGGCAAGGCATAAAGTAAATCCGGACTGGCTCTCTGGGCCAGGGGAGCCCTCTTTTATGGGATTCCCCTGGCTTGTAATCACACAATTCCATTGGCTGGCAAGACCCTGTTGCTAGTTAGCCAACCAGCAACGGGCAT